TGAATAAAAACAGACCACTTTAAGGCTCCATGTAATAAATTATTTCACCACAGCCCTTTTAAAGGGCTCTGGATCATCAGACTTTACTTCCAAAGGTTGAAATGAAAAATGAAAAGAAATTTACACATTTTTGACGGGCCGTATTAAGCATATGTAAATTAACTAAGTGAGGAAGTGAGAGGGGAGAGAAGACAAAGTGAGGAAGTGAAGGGGGGGAGAAGACATGAGTGAGTGCGATGTACCATTTCAATTCTTTATCTCTAACCCCACTTGGTGTGGGCCAGACGACGCTTAACTTAACGTATGTTATCTCTCGATATAGATGGGCAAGGGGTGAAGAAGAAACCCACATAAAAGGAAAAGGATACAATAAAATAAATCATGAGAGAATGTTTCACTCAATTTCTTAGACGCTGTTATTTCACATTACTTTAAAGGGTATATTTGGGGGTTAAAGTTTGGGGGTTAATATTTAAAGTTAAAGTTAAAGTTTATAAATCTAAATGTTTAAACAATCTACGAAGAATTTAATTTGATGTTTGTTGGAGATTTGGGTATTTTCTATGAAATAGTCGATTGGAAAAACTCATAGAAAGTGCATTGAAAGAATAAGTGATAGAAATTTTGGGGATTAGAATAATCATTTATAGTAATTCATCGAGTCTAGAAGAATCCTCAACAGAATGCAGAAAGCACTGATCTGGATGTTGCATTGCTGGAAAGTCCTCGACGTAACCAAAAAAACAGAAGTTGAAAATACAAGACACATAGAACCTTCCCTTGAAATTTCGTCCCGATCTATTAATGATCAAACATTGAAATTTATTTGGAATCCTTTCTTGGTCGAAACGTTAACATTTTCAGGATATAAAGATGAAATTTGGTATATTTATACGGGAAGTATCAGAGATGTAGTGTTTATGAATGTAGACAATATGCACATAGGACTTAACACTGTATGACGATTGTCAGTTTCATGCCCCAGTGGTCTTAATATCGCATTGATATATATATATATATATATATATATATATATATATATATATATATATATATATAGAGAGAGAGAGAGAGAGAGAGATGATTTGTTTCAATTTTATTTGGTCTTAAAAGTATCAACAAAGTGGTTGAGCCAATATTCTTCGGGATCATCAATTAAATTTATCTTTGTTTTAAGGAGTTAAAAATAACTTCGTCCTGAATTATTATGTCATTTTCTTAAAAAGAACAAAAATACTACTTTCTTTCTACATTCTTTTTCACACTAATGAAAAATCATCTACTCGTATTACAGTGTCTAGAAAACTGTTCATAATGCGATTTATTCTCACTGGCATCTGTACAACTGACTTTTAATGCCAACGTCCATTAACTAATTTGAATATCTATGAGTTTCGTGTGATTCAAATCAGATGTCTGTTTTAAATCTTACTTAGCCTCCCACCAAAAATTACAGTTGAAGATCATTGGAGATTACTAATTCAAATTATCACTTTTTATATTATCGCCCTCTCTCATCATTTTCGAATGTTCAACAAAATAAACATATAGACACATAGCGATAAAGGTTTTGTAGGGACTCCTGTTGCCTTGTTAGCAAAACGGATGGAATAATATAAAATCATACTGAATGAAAATTTTGTATTCTTAAAGCTAGTGTTATTTTATTTATAATAAAAAAAAAATGAAGATGAAATGATCAAGATAGAAGTTTCATTCTGCCTCGAATGAAACGAAAATACAATGGATGTAGTCGCAAAAATGAGAGAGCAGATCCTTTTGACAAAAACACTATTTAACACTCTGCTTATCATTCAAGTGGACAGCGCAGTTAGATGATACCAGAAAAGAACAGTCTGAACATAAGATATTAAATTTATACTGGGCGTGGCGAAGACATTTTGTATCCATGCCAAACTTGACTTCAGTTACCGGTGGGTGCGCCTTTGCTAAGACGATGTCAATCTCTTTCGATTAGGTGCCGCCCACTTTGAGGAAATCCCACCTATATTTGTGGGGTGGAGCTGATTGTATGATACATTAAGAATAAGTAATGGAATTTTCAGAATCTGTGTTTGAATTTCTGGAATGAGTCGTTATCATTATTTATACTCGAACTTATATTCTCATCTTTGTTGTTTTTGGCCGTTGTGCTCTACAACCTTTTTTCGGTGTCTAGCCTAGTGGACTGACGTTTTGGTTCGAGAATTTGATGGCATAATATTGATAAGCAAAATCGTTAGGCTGGTTAGTACAGACTTAGACTGCAAACAGGGCGAGCAATAAGTGAGCATTAGTAAAAGAGAACCAGACAAGGTAACCTTGACAAAGACAGAACAATCTACCTTCGGAGATTAAATAAAAGGTTTAGTTTTTTATTCTCTTTTCGAAATCTATGTATGAATTTTAATTGGTTCTATGAAGATCTAGACCTCAAATTAAGGTTTGTTTCTGCGTTGTTTTAGGAAGCATTCTTTCATAGCCACATTTATAACTCTACCATTGCCAGACAAGCACCCAAATAAAGATTTATTAGTACGCTAGCAAATTATGTAGATTTCTCGTAACTGAAATATCACGAGCAACGATCTGCGTTACCGGTTTCGGCTATTTTTGAAATCCCGGTGATATTAAATTTTTAATTTCGCTTCTTCTAATTTCTGGGTTACTTTTTAAAATAAGTTGATCTAACCTTTATTAGTAAGGGGAACTTAAAAGTCATACAAAGTAATGCTAGGCTTTCTATACTTATAGCCAAATCTGGGAACTCTGCTTCAAGAGCAGAGAAAAACCAAAACTTTAAAAATTGATTTTAAAGACAAGACTTAACTGCATCACGAACAGCCATTTCTGCCCATTTGGCCAGAAACGTTTACTTCAGAAATGCCATTAACAGCTTAGCCATAGTTATATTGCACTAATATATAATATGAGATATTAAGTTTTGATTCTCAATTGGGACAGCTCTATTTTGATTTTCCTTCTGTATATGAAAGCAGTTGTTACAGAAATAAGTAGGCAAACTCTTATTAAGCAGTGAAAATAACCCAACAAAGACAGAGCATTGGAATGAAGGTTACATGTGTGTGTGTGTGTGTGTGTGTATGTATATATATATATATATATGTACATACATATATATATATGTGTGTATGTATATACAAAGTGTGTGTGTATGAGAGAGAGAGAGAGAGAGAGAGAGAGAGAGAGAGAGAGAGAGAGAGAGAAGGGGAATAAAGATGAAAAGCTGAAAGGAAAAATAACGGATTACATATAATGCTTTAAAATTTGACCTGTATTTTCTGAATAAACAATTGATTTGATAAAGTGCAGTATTTGATGATATATAAGTCATAAATCGTTTCCCAAAAATATTTAAAAAATATTTCCGGTATTTTATATAGAAAGTTGATGTATCTGATTGGTTAAAATTTATTCAGACGGCGTAGACTATTTACGTTTACTTACTCCAGAATAGTGTAATAATAAATGTAAATATGAGAGCGGGGGTGGTCTTAAATATCCTTAAATAGTGTAGATTGTGAGAGTAAATATAGCCTTGTAGCGATCCATATCAAACAACTGTTACAAAGAATATCATTTTAAGACATTTTTATGTTTATACATCCTTTTAGATACAAATATTTAAGGAAATGGTCTGTTTATAATAAACAGTATTAACAACATTTACATTTAACAGTATTTATTATAAACAGAGCATTTATTTAAATATTGGTATCTATAAAAAACAATGTATAAACATAAAAATGTCTTAAAATAATTGTCGGACTTTGTCCATTTCATAAAGAATATCATATATATATATATATATATATATATATATATATATATATATAGAGAGAGAGAGAGAGAGAGAGAGAGAAAGAGAAAGTTGGAGAGATAGGGAGGGAGAGATCGAAACAACGGAAAATAAAACCAAAGAATCAATAAGCAAAAACTAGGTATAGCTGGTATAGACAGATAATTAGATATTGAGGCAATGGTCGCAATAAATTTATCAGAATATATTGAACTTTCAACAGACTCACATGTACATGCGTGTATGTATGTACATATATGCAGAAATAAAGAAAGACTGACACACACACACACACACACACACACACACACATACATATATATATATATATATATATATATATATATATATATATATATATATATATATATGAGAATTGCAGTTTATGCTATTTGGTAAAAAAAATCTAGCCTAACGTGGGAGGGAAAGATGTTTTAACGAGGTTTCGTACCTTAAAAAAAAATAAATAATAGTATCAGATATATAAAAAATGAAGCACAAGTCGCTGACTAATTTTTTTATTTTTTCCTAAATTTTCATTCTATAACTCAATTTTTTTTTTTTTTTTGCCAATGAACAAGCATTCAAAAAAGTGATTGGCTCACTTTACATTTGAAAAAATCCAAGTGTATTAAAGTCTAAAATATTGTGTGATAAAAAAACACACACACACACATATCTATCATTTTAACTCTCTCTCTCTCTCTCTCTCTCTCTCTCTCTATATATATATATATATATATATATATATATATATATATATATATATGTGATTTCTAATTAAATGTTTCTTTTAATGCGACATTATTTCTTTCTACTCTAAACGTTATTTTAATGGATTCCTATGTTTGGATAAATTTCCTGTGCATTCGAGAGACTTCATAAAGTTTTCAAACCAGTGTCACCCCCTTTTATAGAGGAAACCGCTATTTGGCTCCGTATAACTTTAACGCTCGGTCAAAGGGAGCATCACATCCCAGTAAGTTTCAATTTCCTTTTGTAAATCTGCTGGAAAGCGCATATTTGCTCAAAAGTCCATTAAAACTGGAACGCAGCCTCGGCCCTTGCGGGTAGTTCATTTTCTGTATAGTTTCTTGTATGCACAGGCTGGTAGACGTAAGTCACACTGTTTAAAGAGAACAGGACATCTGCTGAAACACGGATATTCACTATAATAACTTTTTGAGTAATAAGTAAAACACACACAACACACAACACACGCACGCATATATATATATATATATATATATATATATATATATATATATATATATATGTGTATTTATATACAATTTATGATTTCATTATGCAAATGATTTTCACAATAAAACTGTTGCTACTTTTGCGATGCCAACGAATACTCGTTGTCACTTTTGTAATGCTCGTTGTAGTAAATACTTTGTAATCGCAGATACAGCTATAGTAATGCCGTTGAACAATACTGGTGTCAGACGCCTTCGAATAATCTCACACTAACAGTTCTTGTCCGATAATTCTCGCACGAATAGTAGCCACCAAGAAGTAATCCGCATAGGGAAATAGTATAGTGAATAGAGTAGAGAATAGCAGTCCGTATAGTAATAGAGGATAGAATAGAAATGCGATCAATCTAGACGTCACGCGACTTCCTATATATGCGTTTCCTCTGTGGTCATGTGAATTCAATAATAGGATCGCCTGTGCTTGCTCCTTGGCGATCTATGTTCAAATTCAAGTGTCAAATGTCCTATATAGCACATTTATACTATGGTACATATATTTACATGTTGAAAATGAATATTCTTTGTTGTGGCTATGAAGAGAACAATAATTCGAGTGTTCAAATAATTTGTTGCAAGTGAATCTGCAAAGTTCGAAGTTATTTTGTTGCAAGTGAGTCTGCAAAGTTCGAAATGATATGTAGGCTAATATGTGTGTATGTGAAGCACATGCTAATGAAACATGTTTGAGGCTGGTTGCGTGCGACAGCAGTAATTTTAAAACAAAGTGAACAGAGAGAGGATACGAAACTTATTCTCGTCGTAGCGTTGTATGTAGAAAAATCATCGCTGGCATACGCCTTTCATGGTAACGTGTGTCATTGTTGTTAATCGAGGCTGCTCTGGTTCGCTGACTGTTCCGTTTCAGATCTCGTCCTAACAGTTCCCTTACAGATCTGGTCGCTGACTGTGGCTGGCAAGCCTTTTTATGGCTTATGATGTGTCGGTGGCCGGCACACGAATCATATCTGAGTTTTGCGCACGAATGTATTCAGTAATCACCCTGACCTATTTCCTGGTCATTTGGAATTTAACTACGCGGACTTTGTAGAGAGCACATTCCATGATTTGTCATATACAATCATGTCCCAGTAACCAATAATTTAATTTGGGAGACGTGTTTGTACAGAATTTTAAAATGTTTTTCGTATTTATTGAATTTATTTGTAGGTATCTCTTAATTTTTTGTGCTTCAATTATTGGCCGTAAAATATCGGAGTTTATATCGTATAAAAGCAAGAAAATTGGCTTGACCAACTAGAAAATATTTGAAGATGGTTTTTGTATATAATAAGGAGAGAAAAATGCAGAATATTAAAAAAATTGGCTAAATATATAATGACTTAAATTATAATTGTTATTATTTATAAATGGCTGCTTTTGTTGTATGTTATTGATTTGAGGATCATAAGTCTGATTTACTATTTGATTTTGCTAGTATTTTGGTATTGTTTGTGTGTAGATGTCTAATGTTTCTATGATACTTATGCTGTTTATAATATATATATATGATTTTCAATCTTGATGTTGGTGTGTATACCTGTATAGTTTAGGGAATTTTCACAAAATAATATTGATTTTATAACAATAAAAATAAACTGGTTAGAGAAAAGGGGCAAAATCTTGACCTGTAAAGAATATTTTATTCGATATTGTCGAAAAATGATTAAATGTACCTGGAGACAAAATAAATGAATATATTAGTGTTCTACTTGTGAAATACTCTATAAAATGCGCAATTCATTAAATGTTGGTTTCACCTGGAATTAATGAAAATTGACTTTTTAGATCCGTAAAAGGTATTAATACAACTTTAATGATTACCAATAATACTCAGGTTATATGTAGTAATATCTATATATAGTTATATAGTTTTGTGGCAAAATAGACTTGACCTTTATTCAAGGAGAAAAATACGTTCTAGCCGTCGAGTAACTCCAAGTTTCTTTAATCAACATCCATTTTAAGATAGAAGCAAAACAAAGGACCCGGTAACAAATACGATATCGTTCTTACTGACCAAGGAGAAAAAAAAAGTAACTATTGACTAATAATATTTTACCCCTGGAAACGGAATGCAGTCTTTTCTGGTTATAGTTATAACATATAATGTCATTATTATTCTTACCGAAAGGCGTAGCTTTCTGAGTAGATTCTAATACTATATTAGAATTACAAAATTACCTTCTCTATTGTGGAGAAGATAGCTTCCACAAGAATGTACTATTGAAATTCTCTTCTTGTAATTATGAACTTTTAAACAAATTTATTTATTCATGACGGTTTAAATTTGTTTTACTTTCGATCTCTCTTCTATTAATATAGAACTAAAAGAAAAAAGTTCGCTAACAATGTGTAATGAATAAATCATTTAATGTTTTTAAAGTATACATTTTAAGATGGGAACTTTCTTACCTTGCTTGTTTGATGTGCCTTCCATTAAAAACTGATTCAAATTTGTGATGACAACAAAACAAGATGAGAGATGAAGGCGTTTTAACTTACCTAAAAAGAGAAAGAAAAATGTTTTTTTAAAAAACGAATTTCATTACATCGTTTCTGGTAATTATTTATATTTATTTTGAACCATTGATTTTTTTAAAATGTTCATGATGTCATTACCCAAACTTCAATATTGATAATGTATCAGTGAGATTTATGAACAACTACTGTACATGTATTTTTCATATATTTAGTTATTTTAAACCGAGAACCTTGAAACATCTGTATGGAACTGAAAAACACTGGTTACTTTGGCTTTTCTGAAATTTGCAGGTATTTTACATTTCTGGGTAAAGATGAGGGACCTGCTATATTGATTATTCTGTGGCTTCAACTTTCAGCAATAATATACTATGATTTCAGTTTTCTATAACATTCTATAAGACGCAGAACAGCTTGTGTAAATTGGAAAGCCAAAGAAAAACGTTAAACAATGCAATGATATAAACAAAAATGATAACAACTAATTAAAAAAGGACATACGGAATGAAAGGAAGAATAGAAGAAAAAGGAAAGATAAAAGAAGAAAATAGAAAAATGTAATAAGTTTAGCGTTGAACGTGATCCTATCAAATATTGAAGACAACCAATGAGAAAACAAAAGCGAGGCAACGGAGAGGAGAATGTTGAGTTTATAAATACGGACATTAATAAATAAATATGACATCTACAAAATATCTTTTGTTTATTAGAGTTGAAGAAAGCGAGAAAATACGTCAATCGAAGCGTTTTGTTTTGAAAAAAAGAAAAGAGAGAGAGAGACAAATTATAAAAAGAAAAGTGGAGTGTGGTTTGGGAAATGAGAATAACAGATCGTATTACATTTACAGAATGTAATTTTATCAAAGACTGTCATTTAAAAGCCAGTAACATCCTGAAAAGAAAAATAAATATACGAGAGCATTATCTCGTAATCAAATAGTGTTGCCAATCGTATTACTGATTTAGCAAAGTAATTAACGCTGGCAACTACTGATCCTGTTGCTGAAGATATTGTAAGGTTTTCCATTGAACCTGTTAAAAGTAAAGACTGTACAGAAAATGTTTCCTATCTTTATTCGAGGTGTTGACAAAAAAGTGAGAAATTATTAGCGTTAGTCACTTTGAATCGTGCAGAAATAGGAACAGGAGCAGGTGAGATAGAGAACTGAATACTTGTAATTAACATGAGACGGATTGGTTATGAGTGACAATAGATGATACATCTACAGTGTATTCGGAAAAAAGGTTTGTTTAGTTGGTCTTTGTAAAGAAAATATGTCCAGTTTTGACCCGTCCATAACTTGTATTCTGTACCAAGAAGCACTATGTGAGAAAAATGGTGCAGATGAAAAAAGTTACTGACGTAGTTTTGAAAACATAATTTTATCAGCCGTTTCCTTCCTTTCTATCAATTATGAATATTGAATATAGAGTGTCACTGTGTCATATCGAAGCGAGATGGCTTAATCGGAGAAAAGGATTTTTAGGGTTTTTTTTTTTTTTTTAGTGGATTGTTCATAGCATTGAAAGAATAATATGTCCGTAATCCACAGTTATATTTATCTTTTCACTTTTCCCTGACATTACAAATATTATTTCCCTGATGTTTGTATTAAAATTGAAGCTTCGGAATAGTAAATCAGGTTATCGATGACAGTTGTGACAGCGTGACACCTTTAAAATGTAAACTCCTGTTTGAATCCAAATCAGCTTGCAATCGAGAGCTAAATCACGTCAAACACTAGACATGATTTGAAATAAATACACAAATATAATTTTAAATTTGCAGGCAGAGTTTATCCGAATTCTTCAGATCTTTATGGCATTAAAAAGCATCTTATGATTTCTGCTACACCGCTGACTGTGGGTGCTGATACCGTCAGTAGGATACCAAACTGTAACTGAAATATGAAGAGGTCACTATTACAGATTTCCGTTATTTCATTTCGTGTAAGAGATTACCCAAACTGCCTCATCTCTGCAAATTCTGACCATATTTGAATACATACGTCTGTGATCATTTTTTCTCACAATAAAAATAAATAGATCTGTATTTCTCTCAAGACTTGAAGATGAATACTTTTCACCTGTGTTGAGAGTGGTTAATTTCGTTGATTAGACGCCAAATATAGAATCATTGGTGGTCGTAAAACGTTGCCAAAATTCTCTTCAGCACGAACGAACTGAAATCAAATTGAGTCAATCAGAACTATTTAACCGAATCTGTAAAGCTGACATTCTGTAAATAAATAAATGCATAAATAAAGAATTATCTATTTTTAGTTGCCCTGAACATTTAGTTCATATACTCGTCGACATTTTCTGTCAGATGCAAATTCATTTTAATATATGAAGATTCTCCATATTAGTCGATGTACAGTTTGTACATATTTAAATTGTAAAACAACTAATGCTGCATCGTATTTTAAATGTACAGAACATACTCATGGTGTTATTTTAAGTTATCACACATAGCATCTTCTTGTTAGTACTTCTTCCAGTCAAAATAATTCTTAGTTACTTGCCATATGTTTTCATTGAAAATCTGTGTTTGCTTCAACGTAATCGTCTTCGAAATAGTAAAATCATTTCAAATTGTTCTGAAACGGTCACCGAATGTGGTCAAGAAAAATGTAAGTGTAGATAGAAAATAATCGAGTAATAAAAATAAAAATATGACCGATATATTGATAAAGAGCTTCTATGACTCTGCAAACACAGAAAAGCATGCCGATAAATATAGGAAGACAATGGTAAATATTTATATTTGGTGTATGCGTTAGAATATATAAATATACACAGTCGGTTGAATGAGATAATTGTACTGTATCGGATAGGTTAACTTGCCTGGAAAAAGAGAATTCGAAATAATAGATCGATTTGAACACTAATAACAAGTACTAGAATCAGGAACTCAGATCGAAATCTGGTACAATTGTTGAGGATATATTAGTCGATGCATCAAACAAGATAGTAAAAATGGTTATGCAGACAATACGTACAAGTGACAACATGTGCTATTGCCTGAGCAGACTAAAAGAATATAAAAAGAATGAATGAGATATGCACTATTTAGTGATGTCAATTTAGTACGTATGTTTGAATTTATTGAAAATGATTGTGAAAGATTAACAGTTGAAAAGAGATCTACAATGCTGTACAAAAGTAAGTGAGCCCCTAAGATAATATTTTAAAACAATTGTCTCTTTTTCCAGAATGACCAATAAATCTTAATTAAACTATGTAGTCATTAAGAAAAACCTTTATTAAATCAATTACAACAGCTTTAAAAAAATTGTCAATCTTGAATAAAAATATTAATTAAAAATTAAGATGTGCATAAGTGAACCCTTACATTTAATATTAGGTGACTCATCCTTTTTAGGTTACAATATCAACTTAGTTTTGTTACTGCTTTTATTTTTAGCGAACAACCACTTATTGGTTGTGATGCTGCCATTTATAAATAATTTGTTGAACGGTTGAGAAGTGCATGCCAAATCGTTTTAATAGATTTTTGTAGCCTTCTTCCTCATTCTGGGTTTCAAATGTACGACTTTTTTAAAGCTTCAGAAAGTTCTTTTGATATTTGCATATATTTTTTGAAATTTAGTCTCTAACTGCATACTTTTGCATACACAATGAGTTATATTGTTTGACTGCAGTATACACAGCTTACCAAAATAATGAACACATGTCATTTTGATTTTTACATGTGCACAAAAATTTATTTTCAGTGGCATCCATGTAAAACCAAAATACAAAATGTAAATGTAAGGGTTCACTTACTTTTGCACGTCTTAATTTTTAATTAATATTTTTATTTCAGCTTAATAAAAAACTTTGGAAATGGTTGTAATTCATTTGATAAAGTTTTTTTCTTAAAAAATATAGTTTTTAAGCATAGTTTAATATAGATTTGGAAAAGGAAACAATTATTTTAAATATTATCTTAGCGGTTCACTTACATTTGTACAGCCCTGTATATCCATTGGTAGAATTATTATATATACTCGTTTTAGGGTATTGTTTTTTGTATACAATTTTGTGCGCTGCTGAATGCGATATGTGGTTCATTATTCTATTGTGTTTCGTTCAATCTGACATGAGCTTGGCTGGGTACCACAAGGAAAATGAGGCAAGTCTCATCTCTAAGAAATGCTGCGTATAAAACGCATAAGAAGAAAATGAGATATTTTCTTATATACTGCTTTGATAATCTCATCTAGTGATCGTCAGTAAAAAAAAAATCTTTCCTAGACAAAAGTGGTAGCTCTATACAATAAATTAAAAATTATATTATATTTTAGAAAGTTTTCTTGTATATTTGAATGGAAAAACATTTTAGAAAATACCTTGTATGCATTGAAAAGTCTTAATAATACAATGATCTAAAAATCATTAACATTCAAGTTTCTTTTTTTTTTTTGTTATTCTTTAAGAGGAAAATAAGTGTCGGTTATCTGTTACTATGATGAAACTTTTCTTTGAGCAGTGATACTCTAAACTGAATATCTAGCGACGACCTTACACATGAATATGTTTATTACGTATCTCGTCTGGAGATGCATTGAATCTTTTGTTTTATGAGTTTGTCTTCACATATATTATACAAAATGGTAAATGTTCGAAAACACTGAAGTATTTTTGTTCGGTTCAAGTAAAAGAAAAAACATTGTTTTTTCTTTTTAACGGCGTCTTTGAACGCAGACAAATTGCTTGGTTATTTGTTACAAGCGACTAATGGATTTTTCCTGTGGAAGGAAGGCACTTTTTGTTTTCATCGGTAATCCACAAGATATTTCTCCGTGACGTTTGCATTGAGCTGATGTCTATGTCAAGTCACTGACCAATAACCCTAGGTCCTGACGTCAATGGGGAACATGTGTTATCATCTCAGATTTTGGGAAATGTTACAAAGAGAGAGAGAGATTGAGAGAGAGAGAGAGAGAGAGATAGCGTGTGCGTGTGTGGAATCTTATGCTCGTGTACATGCACGTATATCTGTTTATGTGCTTCTCTGTGCAATAGTGGAAAAAACTGGAATTAAGTTCTTCGTTATAGGATCAATGTTTTGAATCATATATGTATCTTTTTCAAGTTTTGAATCATATATGTATCTTTTTCCAAGTGTTTAATCAGGACAAGTTCTTCCATATTGGTTTGATCTCAGGCCGAAAAAACACAGCGCGGAACAAACTCGTGGTTTATATCAAATGGCATGCATGAAAATTTCTTGAAGCATTGCACAAAGATGTGGATATATTCTTATATTTATTTAAGTACTTACTTTCAAATATATCCCAACCACATTCATTCAAGATTTTAATCGCATTGACAAACACTGTCATTCGTTGGTGAGAGAAATAAAACCACAAACTAAAAAAAAATCACTAAGGTTGTAATTTAGTAGTCACAACCAGTATTTAACCACTGATAGCGTTTTTTTTTTTTAATTCGATGTATTCCGTAAATAAATTGAAGAGGGATGGGTTCCGCCTGGCTCTCTTGCCCTGGACACACCAGCTATTATTTTTGTAGACTTTTGTACTACTAAAATCCTAGTCTGTTATGGTGCTCGTCTCGTGACGATTATATAAAGAAGGAATTAAATTAACAGGCATCTGGAGAAGATCATGAAGCTATTAAGCAATTAATAGCCTAAAATATAAATCAAAAACTAAGATATGTAAATAATACGAAAACTACTTAGTAACATACTTTATATATACAGCATTGTTTATCATAGATTATAAAATTGCTTTAGGGTTAAATCAAAAGATGTCGTGGACAGGTTTTGACAATCCTAATGACTTTGGGTAATTTCAAATTTGACTGAGATTTAATGATATATAGAAGAGGTGGCCAAACTTGCTTAATGTAAGAGCCACATACAATAAAGTTCAGATGTTTTAGAGCCGCAAGTCATACATAAAATTGATACATAGATTTTGTTACATGCATATTGACATTAAATTGACGTTTTAATGCAATTGAGTCTTAATACCCAGTAAATAATTATAAAGCTTTTTTTTTTCTTATTTAACTTTTATATTAACTGTGATGAAAAAAACGAGCTCAGTCAATATATTTTATCTAGCAGCCTATTAAAGGTTAAAGACCCGCATGTGGCTCGCGAGCCGCGGTTTGGCCAACCCTGATTGATATCATTTATTAAAGATGTTTTTATTTTTATTTTCGTTATATAAATTTTAAAATATTACATTTGATCTCGAAGTGAAGGTCTTATACCGTAAAGTGCTGATCATACAATGTTTCAAAAACATTGAAGATTTGAAAGTGACTAAGACACATAATTACTGCAGTAATATCAAGGTTCTCATAATCCTTTTCAATTAAAGATAAAAAAAACGCAATACGTATGTAAAATAAAGAAATGATGTTAGTGAAGGCCATTGAGAATTGAGAGGATTTGCTGTCACTTGACCTTTTGTAAGAGACAGCCGACAAAATGTGAATAGAAGAAGTCAATCAAGAAAGAACTGGTTGATAGCAGAAAGATCAAAGATAATATTCTTTTTCTAAAATTGCTCTAACATAAATCCGCTTCTTCCCAGGATTATTACACCGGAAAGAATGTCCCACAACAATATAAAATTGCTTCAAAAGAAGAGATAATCATTAGTTCTATTAATATGAGCAAAAATATTCTGACATTTAGCAATCAAGAAAGAAGATTTAGAAGAACAACAAGAAGAAAACAACAATAACAAGAATGAAAAAAGAACAAAAAAGGAAGAAGCAGGAAAGAAGAAGAAAAGGTAACAAGGATAAAGGGAGAAAAAGAAAGAAGAAGAAGAAGAAGAAGAAGAAGAAGAAGAAGAAGAAGAAGAAGAAGAAGAAGAAAACGCTATCCTCTGGGATTTCCCAGCATTTATAAATCGATATTTGGAACACAACAAAATACTCAGATATCATCTTGATCAATAAAAAAGAAAATAATGTCATTACCGTAAAACAAATCGATTGTAACAGAATTGAAAAAAACAGAAAATCCAGAAAAAATCTTATCAAGAGAAACCTGACACCAAATTAAAGACCAGAGCAAAACTATCACGAGTAAATAATGAAGAACTTCATCAAAGATATGTAAGTCATATGTGTGCCTGGTGGGTGACTTAGTTGCGTATTTTTCACGCGGGTTAGTAGTGGATGTTCGAGTCCAGTAAATGGTAGAATTTCGAACGTTGATTTACTACGATTCTTTCTTCAGAAGATTTGTATAACACAATATTTCTACTTATTTGGACTTGAACTGAATTGGAATTGAACTGAACGAAGTTGAGAATACCTATAAATTAATCTCAGTTAGACCACAGCTGTTGCGCATATGGCTTAGCAAATCACGGGGTTTATGTTACAATGCATCGTTTTCATTTAACTGATCTGGTGTTATCTGACGTTAGACATTTTTTTCTTCATTTGTATAATTTTCGGTAATGCTGTTGTCTGGATAGAATCGAGTCTTCCTGGGATTTTCAGTTTCTCCAATCTTTGTTAATAAGGCGTTCATGGAAAATAAAGAATGAAATGAATGATTTAACTGAGCTAACCTAGTGGTTTTGATGGTCTAACCGGAATGCAGTTGACTCGGACATACATATTTCCTGGCTAATAAGGATGCGACTTTAAATATCATCAGAAGCTAATTTTTGATCTGAGCTGCTTAATAAAAAAAAAAAAAAAGATAGAATAGCAGTCTGAGAATTACATTAAACAAAAAGAAAAACAATAGAAATATGATGAATGACGGGGATTTAAATCATAAAAAGAAATATGTAGTTTATTTTTATTTCTTAGAATGTTCAGTTCTTTTTGTCAAGCTTTTCACTTTCTTTCACATTTTAACTTGATTTGTTGGAACAACTATATCTAGTACCTTATAAGTTTTCTTCTCTGCTTAGAATAACTCGATTTGGTTTTTTGACTTTGATTGGGCAATGTGTTTAAACCTAAAACTCCCAGAGAATTTTACATTCTCATTCCCTAAGATTTATTCTAATTTATATAAACCATTTGTGTGTATGGTCAAATCCTAATCGTTTTCACAGTTCTTATTGGATTACCCTTCACGTCCACCCGTTATTTTGTGCCAATTTTCCGCATTATTATATGACTGATAAATCTTACAGTCTATATTTAGAAAATATAGACTGTATGTTTCTATGTTTTGGAATTTGGATTTGGTTCTTAGAGCATTTATGATTAATTTCCTCTGTTTCTAATGTCTACGTCTTTTCATCACTTTCTCTTTTTTATAATTATCTCTTTTCATATTTCGGATATCTTTATTCGCTCTTCTTTTAGATCTGTTGCAGCTTTTGGTTGTTACATGACGTGTATTCCTCTAATCTATTCATGCAAGAGTCGACACAGTATTCAATACTGACATGCTCTCTTTCTATATTTTTCTTTTTATAGTTTTTGACTTTATCTACTGCAATGTTCGGCTGTATGTATTGTCATTAACATCCATGTTTTGTAATCCAACTTTCTCAGCTCTTGTTTTGTTAAGTTGAAGTTTCATCCTATTCTGTTAAACTGGCCCCGCTTCCAGTATTCCAAAATATTTCTAATTGCATTTCCTAGTCTTAAGAATTTACTGCTTGCGTCATTCATGTTATGCGTTTCCCTATTTTCTGGCCAGTATTGCTCATTTATTGATTATCAGTTCTATTCTACTGTCTAAAGATGTTTGAATTAAGGTCTCCAATTCCTTTTTGTTATTGACAAAGATTTTACGTCATCCCTATACATAAGATGTTTGCATTTTGCATGGGATTTTATAAATCTATGTCATCTGACAATGTTGCAAAATAAAATTGAGTAATATCATTGTTATTATTGTTGTTGTTATTTGGTCATTGAAACTTTAAATAAAATATTGCATGCTAGACGTGATACCGATTCATCTCCTACAGGATGTATAAATCTTATTTAAAATGGAACCATGTCTGCTTTTTAGTAAGTTATCATTTCACCAAAAATGTCAGAAACTAGACAAAATCGAAAATAGCAGAACGCTATCTTCATGTTTGAACGCTATCTTCAAGATTGAGTTCAAACATGAAACACTGTCACCGCTCGATGATGACGGCAGTGTCCACTTTTGCATTTACATTCGCTCTATCCCTTATATTGAGCACTTTAACCCATAAATATATAAATCTTTTAAAAGTATATTATATTTTTATCATATATATATATATATATATATATATATCCAGATTAGCACCACTATATATATAGTACCTTACTTAAGAATTCACTACCCTTGAACTTCACCACACTTTATCACGTTAAAAACACAAATTTATATGTATTTCATTGGAGTTTTATGTAATGGACAAAACCAAAATAGTCTTTCATTTTGTAGGTGTACGAAAATATTACTTGATTTTCAAAATTCTTTCCCATTAAAAATCTGAAAAGTGTGGATTGCATATGTAATCACACTCCTTTACTGTGAAAGCTCTAAGTAAAATCCAGTACAAACAATTGCATTCAGAAGTCACATCATTTATAAATAAAGTTCACTTGATCATGACGATTTCTTTGTAGTAGAATGAAATACTACATTCTCTGTTTTGTGAAGGCTTCAGAGCTTTGTTAGAGGACATTACCCAACAAAAAGCTTCATTAAGACCACAGAGCTCGCCATACTGGTCAGGTATATAGTTGAGTAGAAGTATTATGCAAGCCAAGCAAGGAGAGCAATTAATGAAAAGAGGTCCATTGTAATTTCGGAGAGAATTTGTCCATAGGACAACTATAAGTCATGTACTCTACAAATTTGATCTTTATGGAAGAGTGGCAGGAAGAAAGCCATTGTCGAAAGAAAGCCATAAGAAGACCCATTTGCAGTTTGCCACAAGCCATATGGGAGTCACAGTAAAAAAAGTGGAAGAAGGCGCTCTGATCAGATGAGACCCAAATTAAACTTTTAGGCCTTAATGCAAAACGCTACATGTGGTGGAAAACTAACACTGAACATCTCCCTCAGAATGCCATTGCTAACGTGAAACATTGTAGTGAAATAATAAAGGTGAAATATTATGGTGAAGCATCATCCTACGGGGATGCTATTTTCTGCAGGGACAGGTAAATTGTTTGGAGTTGATGAGAATATGGATACAACCAGATAGAGGGCAATTCTCAAAGAAAATTTGTTACAGTTTGTCAAAGTGGTTCACCTTCCAGCAGGACAATGACTCTAAACATACAGGCAGAGCTACAATGGAAAGGTTTAGACCAAAGCATACTAAAATGTTAGGATGACCCACTTAGAACACTTGCCTAAATCCAAGACATCAGAATTGGGTTTTACAGATGGATCCAATCTGACTGAGCTTGAGTTATTTTGCAAAGAAGAATGGGCAAACATTTCACTCTCTAGATGTACAAAGCTGGTAGAGACATGTCCCAAAAGACTTGTGGCTGTAATTGCAGGAAGAGGTGTTTCTGTAAAGTATTGACTTGAAGTTGAAGATGAATACTTATGTATCCATGAGGTGACTGCTTTGTTGTCATAATTATTGTTGGTGCTGCAATAAAGTGTATATCGCACTTTTAAAGCAATGCGCATTTTGCGTTCGTCAAATGGTAAAATGCAATTAAATCCATTTTAAACCCTGTTGTTAACACTATAAAATGTAGAAAAGTTCCAGGCGAGGATTGAATACTTATGCAAGTCATGCTACATACGTATATTATTACTGAAGAGTGAAAACAGAAGAAAAATGGTAGCGTGATAAAATCAGAACTCCTTCTCGATTTCAGATCTTCTCTTGCAGCTCATGTGCTAAAAGATATTTGTCTCGTGTGTGTATCGCTTACGCAGACTAATATGTTAACAAAAGTTACTAACATTCTCATATTTTCAATTATTTGACACCAAATTACATCGAAGATATGCTTGTAAAATTAGAATATTGAATAAATCCAAAGATAGTTTTTGTAGCCACACCGGAAATGAAAGAAATGGAAAAGAAAATGAAAGTAAAAAAAAGAAAGAAGTAAATGTGAAGGAAAGCAGAAAAACGAAAAGAAAAAGATTTAAAAGAAATTTCGAAGAAAAATGAAAATGAATGAAGTAACAGAGAATATGTAGAAAAAAAAAGAAAAGAAAAAAAAAGTCAAAATAACGAAAGTAAAGAAATAATACAGCAAAGAAATAGTGAATGAAAAGAAAAACGAGAAAAAACACGAAAGAGAAAAAAATAAAATGAAAGATAAAGAAAATATAAGAAAGAGAAGGATAAAAAAGTTAAAAAGTGAAAGGGAGGAATGAAGTTAATAACAAGAAGTTTGAAGTAAAAATGGAATGAAAAAAAGAGGAAAACTGAAAAGAAAGAAGAGAAAAAAATTATAATAACAAAAACAAGAAAGGAAAACAAAGATCAAGAAAAACAATAAAAAAGAGAACAAAGAAAAATGACCAGCAGAAAATCACAGAATAATAGGATATCTTTTCCATTTTCCTCAAAATCTGCATTGTTTTCCTTTCTTGATTTGACGATTGTCTTCGCTTATCTCCCTTTACCCCTTAGTTTCTGCTTTTCGTATCTTGTATAGCGTTTACCGCAGCTGCTACTCAGAATGAGACAACTCAGGCTATTGTAGTAGTCAGCAACGTGCCTCTGCCAGCTGTTTGTTTGAGCGGTGTATTCGCCCTTATCCTATTGAAGCTTTTCACATCAAATCTACCATATAAAGGCAATCATTGTTTCTGTGTCTGTGTGTCCGGGTGACTTCACTTATTTATCATTGTTTTAAATTCATAAATTGTATATTTTTTCCTTGCAAGTAATTATGCAGTAAAGATATTTATAAAGCTCAGTTTAATCTGGTACAGGAGATAAATGTAAGAGCTTGTAAGATTGTGATACGCCAATCTTCCAAGAGAAAAATGTTACCTGAGTAGAAACTTGAATCCCACAACCCGACTTTCTTCGGATTCGAACTGGTGGAACTATTTCCAACCACAGTCTATGCTCACTTATATTTACTGATATTAATACTTATAGCTCACTATAATTGGCACAATGCCTCAATAATCGGACGCTGAATAAACAAGGATTGATTTACTAATAGTCGAAAACAGGCACCATTCTTTTTAATCAATTCACCCCAAGCAAGGCAATAGCCCCATTAAGTCGCAAGAGGCTACTGGAAGTGAAAGAGAAAGAAAAGAATTTAGAAGAAACCGAAAACCCAATCTTAAACAGAAAAAAAAGGTATAAACCTGTACGCCTGTTCAAAAGGCCGGCGATATATGAATCGGTCTATTTCTTTGTAAGCTTCTTTTTTAAACTATTTATTTCCGAGTGTAACTTCGACGCTCAATTTAGGGGTTCACATCATGTTATTTGTTGTAAAGATGTGACTAAACCTCATCCATATATTGAAGGACGGGAATTTAGGTGTTGTTCATCCAAAATAGAAACTTGGAACAAACCTCATTCTTCATCACTATCTTTCTTAAATCATTCTAGGACGATATATATATCATATATATATATATATATATATATATATATATATATTATAATGTTTTTTCATGAATGTGCGTGCGTGAGAGCACACACATACAAAGGAAAATTTTGTAACTAACGTACCCATGCATTTCCTTCATTTAAATGAAGGTTTTCAGTGTATGCAGGATATTTTCATTGGGATGACTGGTGCGCCACATTCTTCGTGACGTTTACCTCTGCATTTTGTTTGGGCAAGGTTAAAAAAAATATATATCTATAAGATAAAGCCTTAGGCTAACCACAATTCCACCATCCCACCATCCTCAGGCAATTTCTTTACCATTCCCTTACATTCTTATATATATATATATATATATATATATATATATATATATATATATATATATATATATAAATATATATATATATATATATATATATATATATATATATACATAATATATATATATACTTTGCTTAAAAGGTAGTTTGAAGTAACTTTCTATAAAATACTTGTTGTATATACCGATTTCACTGGGTTATCTTACAGTCAGAGAAGAAATAATTCAATCTCAATGTTAAATCAGTACAAGTGATTGTTGTTCGAGCCTATTTAAAATGCAGACAAGGTCTCGTTATTTTAAATATTAGTGCAACACGATCTTGTGACGCTGATTTCTCCTTTTAAACTTATTCCATATCAGTCAGTCAGTTATGTGCCATGTGTGATATATGCTTAGGTGATCATGTATCTTTCAATGCATGACTGACGAGGCAGATTTTTTTCCTACAGTAGGATGCCATTTCTTTCTGGGGTAGTCCAGTTGCCATCCAAGACTATAGAACCCGGTCTATCCTGCTTTTTGCCCATAGAGGGAGTAGAAGAGGATTAAGCACGTAAATGAATTTAATGGATTCGACTGGATTCGACTATCCATTACCCCACCGTGCCTCCTTATGCCATACCACCTACCGGAAATGTCAGAATACATCAAATATGGTACTTATTTCCTAAGCTGACTCATGTTGAGCATAGTGTAACTGTAACGGATAGTCCCGTGATACTGGAACTCATACTAACACGATAAGGTTATATTAACTTGCTCATCTTCACTTAGCCTCAAGCGCTGAAATATTTTGTCCCATATGGGACAAAATATTTCAGCGCTTGAATATATTTGTACAAGTTTGAAACATTCATTTATTTAGTCGGTGGGCTTGTTATCAAATGTTCTCATTTAATGTAATTTTTCTTAATGACTTTAAATGAGAACATTTGATAAACGGTCCCATGACTAAAATGAAAGAATTCAACTTGGGAAAAAGTTTAGTCGGCATAATAATATTGAGTTTTCGGCTCGAGTATTGTTGACGGAAGTAACAATAAAAGATTAATTTTTAATGAAATGTTAAAAAAAATTCCTTATTGAAATAATCCTATCAAAAGTCAGCTTCAATACCGAAAATTGGGAACTTTTAAAAGGAAGAAATTGATTCATTATGCAGCCATAACATGCACATTTTAATTAATCTTTCTGTACTTCATTATCAGACCTCCGTTTCATACCAGACTTATAATGCTTTTTGGTTTCCGTCACCAAAATTTCACAATGTAGAGTTATGCTCCTTGAATTGAAAACAAAACTCTAAAAATCATTTCATATTTCAAACCTCATCATTATATCAATTCGTGTTTGTAGTTAGCATCTTCAATTCATTGTTAGCTGTTTAATATATTGCAAAATTCGAACAATTAAAAAACGTAATAGATTTCTTGATTAGTTACTAACTTAAAATTTTTTGATGAAACTAAATTTTTAGTTTTTATCAATGTTTTTAAATCAAGGGATATAACTAATGCAGCTATAACAATAAAAATGAACCACCTAACATCACACACACACACACACACACACATATATATATATATATACACACAAACAAACAATGTAGGATATACACCCATAAATATATGTCATGTGAAATTAGGTCATGCAATTCATGATGATCGTTAATAGCAAGAGAAACATGAAGAAATTATGAAATCAACAAATATATGTATTTAAAAAATATTTGTTTAGAAATTAATTAATTTCACCTTTTTCGGCAAATTCCTCGATGTTGTAAAATGTCTCAATACAGCGCTCTAACTTTATATTCCAAAGATCTTTAGTCAAGGAAATGAAAACCGGAATTATTCGGTCTATATTGATGTTGAGAATAAAAAACAACAGCTAACTTTTTTTACTCGCTCATTTAGCTTTAACCCTTCAACCTTTTTTCATTCGGTTCTTTCATTTTCTCCGTGCCTGTGTGTATACAATTGGCGCGGGACTGATTTGCAGAAGCAGAAATTTTCTCTCATTACACGACACTTAATATCCTTTCTTCATAATTTACCCT